AAAACTACACTGCTCTGCTAGCTCAGACATTTTTAGTTAATTTTAATCTGGAAATTTCAGTGTAATAGACTATCCCAGATTTATAGGTGGTAGCGGTCAATGCTATCTAGGTATTTCTTTGGGTAGGTTTGGAAAATATTTGAGAAAATTTAATTTTGAAAAATATCCTTTTGAGAGGATGACCTAAGAATGTATATTTTACTACTACTACTAGTAGTAGTAGTAGTAGTAGCATCAGCAGCAGCAGAAGAAATATCTTTCAAGTACTGTCATTATAGGCCTCAATTTCCATTCTTTGGCATGATAGAGTTTAATCAATGAATCCCAGAGAAAGAAAAAAAATCTATATGTTAATAGTGCATGGTCTTGAATAATATACTCAGCATGCTTTACATCTACTTGAAAGTCAGTCCTTAGCATTCGGTCACACTCTGTCAATGTTATTCACACTATAAGGTCAACAACAAACAGAGCCATAATGGATGGATGGTTGGGTGGTTGGATGGATGGATGGATGGATGGATGGATGGATATATATTGGTTAGGTTTTGAAAAACCAGAATTGATCCTGTCTCTTAATCACCCATGGTGATCACTTCCCATAATTTTTTACATCCAAGCTGGCACATTTTTGTTACTTATAAAATATCTTACAAATGATACTTAGTGTCAGGTTCTTAAGAACAATCAAGCTCAATTAAAATTGCACAAATATGTTACAACAGCATTACTTGTTATAAGGGACAGTTTTAACTCCCAAATGTATGGAAAAGTGATTTCTGAAATGCAATATTAATTGTGTATATAGATCTTTGAGATGGTTTCTAAAATTAAAGAGAAATTAGGAAATGTTCGCACTATACCTCAAAGATCATGAAATCAGATTAATCATATTTCTATTGGAGGTGACTTTTGTTTGTTTTTGTGGTCAGAGGAACTTTCAAAACAAATTATATATGTGACAAGGAAGCACAGTACTATCAACATTAATGTTATAGAGACTACAGTACTCAACACAAAGAACAGGAGGCTATTTCTAAGAGCTAGATGAAAATGTACTAGGAGCCAACCTGAAACTAAACTTCATTCTGTATGGAATTCAAAGGTTCCACGATAGCGTGTCCATTTCCCCATATCACTTTATGACGAATTCAATGTGTGTTCCAATTGCAAGGCAATTTAGGAGCGTTGTTCCTAAAATTGATGCATGATGAATCATTCACAATGCTCAAGTAAATGTGAATTATTACCAAAATTAATAGCTTATGTGGATCTTCTTATTTCAATGTGCATCAGCATTAGAAGCTCAATGAGAGAAACAACTAATATAAACACAGTTCTTGGTTTTTCATCATGCAATCAGGCCTTTGAACCATAGATTAGTGTAAGGAATCATTCAGACTTAATTCACTGGGTGTGCTTCTGCTCATGTTTGTGAGACTGGCCATAAGGGATTTAACTTTGTAGGCATAGTAGTTTCTTAAATTGACAGAAGGAACTACTTTCATTCCATCTCCAAAATCACAGCTCCTCATGGCACTTTCCAGCTGTTTTTGGCGCTTATAAAAATGAGAGAACTTATTGAATATAAGTGTAATAGGAAGGACTACAACTAAGATGCCAGCTAAGATGCATGCAGAAGCTGTTAGCCTGCCTGCTATGGTCAATGGGACAACATCGCCATAACCAACTGTAGTCATGCTAACTGTAGCCCACCACCAGCAGGCAGGGATAGTTTCCAGGGCTCTGTTTTCTTCTTTTTCTATTGTGTAAGCCACTACTGAGAATATAGAGATTCCAACTGAGAGGTAAAGGAGAAGAAGCCCTACTTCTCTGTAGCTATATTTGAGGGTGGCTCCAAGAGATCTAAGGCCTGTTGAATGCCGAGCAAGTTTCAAAATACGGAATATTCTCATCAGTCTCAGGACTTGAGCTACTCTACCCAAATTGGCTAATGCAGGACTACTTTCCACCACCAGGTTAACTATTAAAGTGATATAGAATGGAAGGATGGACATGAGGTCAATCAGATTGAGTGCATGCTTAAAAAACTGAAGGAAATCTGGGGCAACTGCAAACCTGGCCACCAGCTCAAAAGTAAACCATGCAATACCAAAATGTTCCACAATTTCAAATCTAGGGTCTTCCTCTGAATTCCCAGAGCTGTTAATAATCTGGAAGTCTGAAAGGCTGTTGAGGCACATGGTTACTATTGATCCAAGAACAACCATAATAGAAAGAACACTGAATATTCGGCTCAAGACAGAATAGCCAGGATTGTCTAAAGCTAACCATAGCTGCCGCCTCACTTTCCCAAACTGTTGCTGGTCAAATTTAGCGGCATCATTGTAGAAGGCCAAGATCTCATCCAAGGAAGAAGAGGTACTTTCTTGGTCACTGTGATCTTCCCATTTTTCTTGATCTGGTTCCATTTTTCTCCCATGGTAGCTATAACTGCAGCACGAATCAATAAAGAATTCATTGATTCCCCAGTATTCAATTTCTTGGCTGAAGGAAAAGACACAGAGCTCACCCATCACATGTAACTTTCCAGTATTATAAAAATGGAGCACATAAGGAAAAAGTTCAGGATTTCTATCAAAGTAGAACTCATTCTTAGTGTCATCATAGTCATCACAAAGCTCTAAAATTGACTCCTTTGAATTGCAGCTCAGCAGCTTACCCAGTCTTGTTTCGGGGAATCTCAATAGTGTATTGTATCTCATCTTTTTTTTAAAGCCTCCAACATTGAGACTGATCTCATTGTCTTCAAAATACGTATCAGACAAACCCCTTAGATTCAACCCGGTCATTGTGAGTATTTCCAAGATCTAAATGGAGAGAGTACACCTATGGAATAATAAAAACAAGGCAAGCCATGTTAGCCAATAGAACAGAAGGAGAATTCTCCATTACTCCCTTTTATGATATACTTGGATCAAATACCGTCATATATTCCATCACCCACCTTTTGAGTTTCCCACACCATCAGCTCCTTTCTATGAGATGCAGCTTTTTTTTTACTTAACTGGAGATAAGATGGTAATTAATGCTCAACCACGAATCAATATGTTATATTTGATTGCCCCCTTTCCTTTTTCCTCTACTCCCTTTGGCAATACAGTAACTGATACAATAACACATGCAGCTTTTGGTCGTCATCTCCCCTACTCAATCACTGAAAATAGGGCACAGCTTTCAATAGTTGGATGGGGAAACCAGGCAGATCTGAGGCACCAGGTGCAACCTTTCCCTAAACTGTAGCTCGGGTGAGTGGAGCAAAGGTGAATCCCTGTGCACTTTTCCTTTCACCCTTTTTGGCTATTGAGTAAGTATGTCTGCACCATCACAAAATAACTAGGAAAGCCAGTGATTTTTTGACGATGACATTGGTAGAGTAGCCCTACCGACAAGCAATCCTCCCCCTTTCCCACCGCCCCCAAATGCTCCATACCCGTTTTTCACTGTGAAACTTCCCCTAGCCGCCCGCTACCATTGCTGGGCGGGGTCCTTCTTCTAAGGGTTAGTTGCCTTGGCTCCCAGACTCAACACATAACCTTTGCACGATGGACCGCGTTGCCTAGAAAAGATAAGTCGGCAAAGACTTACATCCTGGACTAGCCGCCCCGAGAATAGAACCACCACCCAAGGCGAAACCGTCGCGCCGTGGTGCTGAATGGACAGCTCCGTTCCAGCCGCGCCTCCCGACTCAGCTCCAGGCAGCGGCAGCGGCTGCTGCAGCAGTCATGGCGACCACCGACAGCCCCCCGCGTTTTCCAGCCAAGCCCTGCCCGAGGATTGGACGCGCCTCTTCTCCCCCCCACCCGCTCCCCAGGTGGGCGCCGCCTTTTTTTTTTCTTTTTGCCGACGGTTCAGATGCTGCAGCGGAGCGAGGCACCTGAGAGACGCTGGAAGCGAAGAAGGAAGGTGCCCACGATCGGAGGGGGCTGAAGGCTGTCTAGGGAATTCCCCACCATCGTGCACGGTCTGTTTCCTGCCACCACGCTGGTTTCAGTGCAGGCTGAAGTGATGGTATACGACGATCCTCATTCTTTCCCAGCAGAGTTAGATACCTTCTGCCTGTTTATTTCGACTGGTTTGCATCTTTTCTTTATTGCACCGAAGACAAATTCCTTGTGTGTCCAATCACACTTGGCCAATAAAGAATTCTATTCCATTCTATTTCAAGATCGAAATTCATAATCCATTGGGTTTTTTTCTTCTTCTTCACCAAAAGGAGGTGGCTTCAGACAGTCTTCTCCAAAGTGGTGGTCTCCACATATGTTTTCAAGATGCCAATGATGAGCAAATGATGGGAATTGTTCCACACAACTAATGGGCAACAGCTTGGAGAAGACAGGTTAAAGACACATGATGCGTATGCTCTGTTATCAGGCAGAACATAAATGGAAAATGGGTCAGATATGATCCATTGTCTTCAGAAGTTAATAGAAGAAATAAAATTTCATCCAAATATTTTCCCCCATATGCAGCTAGCCAGGCAACCTATTATTAACACAGTCACCTATAATGGTCTGCTCAACTAACCCACTAGTCTGATTTTCATGGCACACAAAACCATAAACGAATGGCATGGGTTGATTCTGCATGACATACCAAACTAAAATGTGATTGTGTGGTTTACATTCACTGTGTTGTATGAACCCAATCAGTTCTGGGGCAAGGTGCATGTGAAGGCTTATCCAGGGGAATATTTTTTATTTTTTCTTGGACCATTTATCTGTGTTTTCTTCATAGAAAAACATCCCCAAAGGGAATCTTCCTTTTCCCGTTTCCACCTAGGATCCTCTTCTGTAGGATCCAGGCTCTCCTTTGATTCAAAGAACAAGACCAGTGTTAGTTTTCTAACTTCAGCACCCTTGTCCTTGAAATCCTGCTGATGGTGCCCCTCCAAGTCATCCATGCTTTTCCTCCAGCTATTTACAAATCCTAAACCTTGATTCCTTGCTAGGTGTTTCTGTTTTAGCACAAGGAGTTCCAGAAAACCTCTACTGACCTCAGCAGGATAGCTCTTCCAAAGCCTTGAAAAATTCTGGTCAGTCAATATTGTAAAACTGCAGCTATTTCAGAGCAGAGTTGTTGTTGTTGTTGTGTTGGTGGTGGTGGTGGTGGTGGTGGTGTGTGTGTGTCTCTTTCTCTTTAAAGGTGGAACACACAGACATACACATGATTAGCCTCCTTTCGATTATTCCTGATGCATCTATTAAGGGTGTCCTCTATACGCAGCATATACAATATTTTTTGGGGGGCTGTCTGAAAGAGAGAACTAGGTATCACCTGTATTAGCAATTGAATCTCACTTTGGTGTCAGCAACAGATTAGTCACTTCTACCATTCTTGGGGCACCAGGAGTCTTGGATAGACTGTATAACATTCTGATGTTTTCAGAGTCTTTCCCAAGTTAAATCAGGTTAGAGAAATGTATATGAAAGATAATTTTGGCATGGGAAATAAACAGCAGGCTCAATATCTCCTGATCTCCAGGGTCTTCTTAAGGTAGGAATACATAACCTATGGGCCAGAGTTGCATGTGAAAACCCCAGGTGTGCCTCCTGCAAAGTCCATCTAAAGGTTGCTGCCATGTTGAAGGTTGTAATGTGGTTTAGGGGGATATTTATTAATCACATGTGGAATACTTCAGCCTTTATCCTGGTTCCACCATCATGGTTCTGTCAGTTGAGAAGAAAAACCACAAAAATCTGGAGGAGGTATCCTAAATACAGATATAGTCATTCTAGACTACAACAAATATGCCAAGCCAAGAAAGGCCCCATAGTTTTTATCCTTGAATCAATAGGTTTTGATCTGAATTAGATATCTTCTCCACTTTTAGGAGCACATGTATCCAGGTAGAGAAGTAAAACTGTTGATGCATGAGAATCTACTTTTACTTTCAGCTGTGAAGCTCTAACTCTCCCCCTAAAAATATATCCTGGCATTTGAATTTGTCTTGTCTCTGGATTTTTTCATTCATTTACCCTTTTCAAGCCTTCAGTAAGCGTTCCTATGTTGTGAGAGTAGAGATAACCCAGATAATGAACTGTTGCCTGTGAAGTTAATGTATCTACCTATTTTCAGAATATTATTTTAGCATGTCACTCAAATCCACTTTTCCTCCCCAACTGGTCACTCTTGTTCTAAAGTGGATATATTTTCATTTGGCAAAACAACTTTGGGAGTAGCAAAAGATCTTCCATTTCTCCCCTTCCTCTGAAGTTCTGCAATTGCCTATTCTCAAAAAAAAGTGGGGGGGGGAGTATTCTTATCATGACAGCCATCATGTATGAATGTATGAATGAAAATCACAGATGGGGATCTGAAACGGAAACAGAGGTGCTCTACAAATCATCTACTTGGCCAATAATCCCATTTTCACGGTGGATACATTTCAGTGGTGGGTTACCAATTGCCTTACTACTGGTTCATTTGTGCTTGCGTATGCCCTCGTTCGCTCACGCAATGCTTCTGCACATGCGCAGAAGCATCTGGGTGGGTGGGCGGAGCCTCCCGCTACTGCCACTACCGATTCAGTCTAAACAGGCTGAACTGGGAGCAACCCACCTCTGATACATTTGTACGCACCACTCATATTACTGATACATCTAATAGTGATTCAAGCATGTCACACTCCAAATAATTTTAAACAACATGCCTTAGGTTAGGCTCCACATAGACTGCCCATATCACACTTTAGACGTACAATAGAGAAAACACTAGTTTTTCAACAGTGCCATCACACTGATAGAATGGACTCCGCAAGGGACATTTGCCTATTTAGTGCAGTTTTGGCATCTTGGTTCCTTTTCTCAGGATTTCACATTTAAGTTCATCTAGCTTGGGTCATGAGTCCTCATGCTGTGATTTTACAAGTTTCCAGTATCTCTGAGTGCATTTTATTTCATATTTCATTTTTTAAAATATGTTTTATTGTACTTTGACATTTTGTTTCACACTTTAGGGATATTTTTTAAGAGGGTGAGCTGTTGGCTCCCAGAACAAGCAAAATTGTAAGCTGGGACAGCATGTGAATCCATCCTGCCATCTCCAGGCAGCCTGGTATCAACCTGATGATCAGCATAAAATAGGTGCATTTTCTTCTCTTTGCAAATTATCGAGACACACCGTGACCTTTCTCTATATATCTCCTGCATGATTCATCTCTCTTTGTGTTTTCCAGAAGCTGGAATCACACTGATGCAGCTAAGGGCAAAGCTAACACACTGAAGTTCACACTTCATACTTTTACTGGAAATTAATCTGCCTTATGTCCTCTTTGTAAAGGCAGGTAGCACCATGATTTATTGTGGTAATCTCTCAATTAAAACATATTGCTAAACTCTAAAGTGTGGCACACTTACCTAAGGTCCACTAATGTAGGAGAAATTTAAGAACATATATCATTCTCTAAAGCTTGGTTTCTTTCCAGAGTCCTTCTAAAATGAGCCATCCAATTGTCCCAAAGGTGCTTTTCAAAAGGCAACTGGATTTTTTTTGTTTTTTTTTTCTTGAAGATGTTTCATTTCTCATCCAAGTAGCATTCTCAGTTCTAGCTGAATGCTGGGGAATGGAAGGATTTATATTCCTTGCAGTCATCTGGTTGTTAGCACTTTGAAGGATACCACCTACAGACCGAATCTTGCCAGAATAAGCATTCAACTCTCTACATCTACCATACATTCTGTGAAATATTACAGAAGGGTTCTCTTCACTCTTTCTCTCACACAAAATATGTGGACTGTGTTGTCTCCTAATCCTCTGAAATGCACCCTCTCCTTCCTGGGAATTCAGACTACTACATTTCATTACATCATCACACATTAAAAAATGTGATGTTTCAATCACATGATTGTGGCACCAATTTGGTTTTTTTAAAAAATCTCCTCATTGTGGACATCCTGGTCTTGTTAAACTCCCCCCCCCTTTTTTTTTTTACATTTGAAGATACTTTTTGCAAGTGCTACCGTAGCATCAAGGCATTCTAAAACATGTTACACTTCATTATTACAAGTACATATTATTTACTTTACACTATTTATAACATACTCTAATCCTAGCAGATTCTGAGCAGGCTACAACAAGGTCAGACAAAGCAACACAACACAACACAAATAATTAAAATAAAGCATCTCAAACCTAAACATTACAATACAGTATATGCTCCCATGCAATTAAATTAATATTTTAAGCACTGAATGCCTGCTGGGAACTGCTTCAGCTTGTTTACAAAATGCTATCAGAATTGGGGGTGATATGGGGAAATGTATTCCATATAATGGGAAGTGGTCCGTGCCCAATGTATGGGGGGAGCCTAGTTTGTGAATGATGTTACCTACTTTGGGTAATGAAATGTCTGCAAGAAAAAAAGAAAGCCCAGAGAGCATCAAGGACCCCTCATTTCAACCCTGATCCACAAATATTCTTCCTTATTAGAACCTGCAATAGTCCCCCTTTTGAGGACCAGATTGGACAGAGAAAGTAAATTCTGGCATGCCATTATCTGATGTATTCCTATGCTGGACTGAAAAGTGCTTTCAAGATAATGAACAGTACTTTGCATTGGACCTGGAAGCCTTCTAACAACCAGTAAAGCAGTTTCCAAATGC